CCTGAAAGTGAAGGGATTTCCTGCTTGCACAGAAATTTAATGAGATTAGAAAAAAAGGTTCTCTCATTCTAGGTTGTGTCTCCAGTGTCTGGAACAGTGCCTAGCATGAAGGCTCTGTGGAAAATGGTTTGAAAACCAACTTTATGATATAATCTCATTTTACCAGTTAGGAAATCACAAAGGTATTTATGCCACATACTTTTTATTCATACTGTTCTTAGTGTTCAGTGGGCGAAATTACTAAACATTCTGAGGTATTAGGGTCAGATAGAAGTGTAATGTAATGTGATTCTTAAATGATATGGGGTCTTTAGTCAAGGTGGTGGGCACTGTTTAGTTGTAGGTTTCTTTGTAGTCTTGCTTGGGTAGTAAGGTAGTGGTCTACTGTATCTCTTTGTAACCTTATGATATGTGAGACAGTTGCATACAAAATAGGAGAACGATTGGATGGAATATTTTGATAAATGGTCTGCATGTGTTGTGGCTCTGTGAAACCACTTGTAAATCTTTGGGACAAGCTAGGTTACAGCAGATGGAGCAGGCTCTGCACTGAGTATAGAAAGATAAGTAAGACATAGTCCAGTTCTCTAGGAGCTGACACCAGTGGGAGTGGGAGGCGGAGATAGATATAAACCATCATACTTCTAGTCTAGCTTTGAATTAGTGAATTGAATTGTGTGTCAATTACTGTGGAATTCTCTAGGAAGCTGGGTCACTCTGCTCGGGTAAGCCATTTGAGAGGAAGTCACATTTGAGGTCATTCATGGAAGAGGAGTCTTTTCCAAGAGGGAAATTGTGGTAAAAGGTATTCCAGATAGAGAGAGGAGAGTGAATACAGGCTTGGAGGAAGAAAGCTGTCATCAGTGCCATCAGGTGGAAAATATTTTTAGTGTAAAAGGGTCGAGCTTAGTCTCATGAAATTTAAGCAAAATGTGCTTTATGCTTAGTTTCCTCTCCAGCTCCCAAGGGCAAAGGCTTCAAGAACACAAAAGCCAAGAACAAACTTAGGCACCATTTTCTTTTATGCTGCAGCAGCCCTCCCTCCAGACAGTGACTGCACAGTGCCCTAGCTACTGGAATGAGGAGAAAGGTGTGGGGTTAGGAGAACATCTGGAAAATCGGTTGACATTTCAAAAGTGTTATCCTGGCATGTGTGTCTTGTGGCAGGATTGTGAAGGGACTAATATGACATGTTATGGATCTTGGACTTTATCCTTTATGCAGTAGACTGTCACCAAAGTTTATTAATGGGAGCAAGATGATCATATTTTTGTTTCTCAAGATAAAATCTGGTGACAATATGAAGACCTGATTGGAGTAGAAAGATCAGTTAGGAGGCTCTTGTTAGAGTAGAAGGAAGAGATGATGGGGAGCTGAACCAGGGCATTGACCGTGAGGAAGGAGAGAGTTTGAATAGCTCCAGTGCAGATATGGGAGTCACTGAGGCTGTGGGAGTAGCTGGGGTCACCCTGAGAGTGTGCATGGGATTCTGGGAAACACCGGCATGTAGGGAGGAGGGAGAGCACTAGGAACCAGTGAATGAGACTGAAAGAGAGAGATCAGAGTGGTGGAAGAACTAGGAGAATGAGGTTCTGGAAGCCGGAAGAGGAGACAGTGGTATCTTGGACATCTGGGATAATCGGACGTCTTCAACTGAATGTCCCAAGCACCACAGAATAAAAACCTTCAAAACTGAACTAATAATCTCACATCTGACCAGACCTGCTCTTTTTGCTGACTTCTCATTTCCTACCATGACACCATCATTCTCCAGATGCTTCAACTTGAGGTCTTTTTTTTTTTTAATTTTTTTTTTTTGTTTATTTATTTTTCCCCCAAAGCCCCAGAAGATAGTTGTAGGTCATACCTGCACATCCTTCTTGTTGCTGTATGTGGGACGCGGCCTCAGCATGGCCGGAGAAGCGGTGCGTCGGTGCGCGCCCGGGATCCGAACCCGGGCCGCCAGTAGCGGAGCGCGTGCACTTAACTGCTAAGCCATGGGGCTGGCCCTCGACTTGAGGTCTTGATCGGTTTTTTATTTTCACCGTCTCGACTTCTGTGCCATGAGTTGCTAGGGCCTGTAACTTCTCCCTCTCTAAATCTTAGGGTACTTTCTTCTTTTCTATTGTCGTTTAGACCCTCTTTCCTTACATAATGGCAGTAGCTCAAGTCTCTCAGCCTCTGCCTATTCCAGCTGGCAGCTAAGTCATCCTAGACCATTTATCTAATCCTGTCCTTTTCTGCTCAAAACCACTGAATGACTACTAGTTTTTATACACCTTACCTGCGGGGCCCAGATTAACTCTCCAGCCACATATCCACCTCCTCCCATCCACACAATACGCCCCACACCCCAGCCAAAGTAGCTTACTCACTGTTCAAACATGCCGTGGACTTTTGCCCATCCGTGTTGTTGCTTTTGTCAGAAAAACTTTTCCTCTTCTTTCCCACTCCTGTCAAAATCGGATTCATTTAAACCAGGCCCTCTCATATTATAACATAACTTTTGAAGTGACTACAAGATTTAAAGTGTGCCTTCCCTGATGATATGGCAATCTTGATTATGATAATTTATCCTATAAAAATATTTACCATATATTCATATCTAATATATGTGTAAAGGTATGTTTAATGCAGTATTGCTTGTAACAGTAAAATATTGGAAACAACTGAAATAGATGCAACTTTGAAAAAATAGAAACACACACACACACACACTGACATGGAAAATTGGCCACTGAATGTGGGCTGTGATTCTATTTTTTTTAATAAGTGTTATGTGTATTTGTGTATGTGTACACATGCCAACAGAAAAGAAAATCTGAAAAAATACACACCAAAATATTGAACAGTGATTATTCTGTGTGTCTGTTGGGGAGTGGGTTGTTAAAGTTTTAACATACCCATCTAAAAATGTTAACATTTGCTAATACTGCATGATGTGCTCACTGGTATTTATTACATTATTGTTTATATTTTATATTTTTAAATAAAAATAAAATCTGGAGAAATGCAGTGTTAGATTTGAAGTACTAAGTGCTTTAGTGTCAAGTATGCACTGATATTTATTTATCAGGACAGAGACCCTAGAAAAGATTTTTCTTTCTGTCCTCTTGGAGTGATATTTCATAAAGTACTTTAATTCAAGGATGCCGATATTCCTGCCGACAGACAGACTGCTTCTTAGTAAGTGTGGGTTTCTTCTTGCAAATAAGCTTCTTTGAATTGAGCGTGTGTGTGGTTGCACCTGGCCAGCAGTGAAGGATTTGAACGGGTGCCACAATGCTTGCAGACCATTAAAACTGAATCAGTCTGAACTATTTTTGTGTAAATTAAATGACGCGAGTTTGATTCATTTTCATATGCTTATTTTTAGTGGAGAACAAAGAGACATAATGGCATGTGTTTGTTTTGTGGTGATCTAGGTAATGGCAGCGGTACACCTCTCAACAATCTGGAGGAGCAAATGACCACGTAATTAGACATTTTCCTTACTATCGTTAAGCTCTTCTGTATTGATCCAATTGTAGCAATGTTTAAAATTTTGCATTATTATAATAATGATTCAAGGTTTTGAGGAGGACAATACCATTGTTAGTTTTCCAAGAGGAGACAATGTAGATGATTTTTGTTTGTTTTTTAAGAAAGGATTTTGCTGCATAAGATATACAAAAGTTAAGGTTAAGCCTAGGTTAGATTTATGTATGCACTGGTAAATACAGAATATCATATAGAGGGAAATTAGAGGAGTTCAAAGTGGCCTTTTAAAATGTGGTTAAAATAAAAATCACATTATTTGCAATGGCTTTGTAATTATTAGTTTGCTTTCTGGATGTTTTCAGTCATGTAATGATAATGAGATCAGTCAATGGGATTTTTTTTTTTTTTAAACACAGCATATAATTCTAAACAATGAAACAAAACATCCCAGAATAAATATAGAAACTCTATAACCTTAACTCACCTTGGGTAAGTTTTCGTTCATGATTTACATATCTTGAAGTTTGCTCCCCAGAAGGGCTTATAAAAGATGTGCAAAGATATGAGTTGGTGAATCAGAAGATACTGATTCCACCTTATCCTATAAATGATCTGCTAATTTTGAAGAAAATGGAGACATTTGATCATATTTTGAAAGATGAGAAGCAAGTACCTACAAATATTCCTATGGAAAGGTTTTTGTTTATATTTTTGTTTTTTGAGGAAGATTAGCCCTGAGCTAACATCTGTTGCCAATCCTCCTCTTTTCTGCTGAGGAAGATTGGCCCTGGGCTAACATCCATGCCCATCTTCCTCTGCTTTATATGGGACGCCACAGCATGGCTTGGTAAGCAGTGCGTAGGTCTGCGACTGGGATCCGAACCCGCAAACCCCGGGCCACCGAGTGGAGTGCATGAACTTAATCGCTATGCCACTGGGCCGTCCTCTGGAAAGGTTTTGTTGTTATATTAGGGAAAATAAAAGAGAATGTGTTGTAACTGTTTTATAAATGCTGAAATATAAATATATTTTGTTTGAGTAAACAATGACCGATGGTTTAACATACATTCACTGATTCTCAAAGCATGAGTTCCTCTTGTTAAATGGTGTTTCTTTTTAGCTCTCTGTTGCTATACCATGACCACATGGATAATGATTAATTATTGAGTTATCTATTAAGTAAAATTTAGTATTCTAATTACATCTTCCCTGACAAATACATTGTAAATTACAAGGTGTAGCTCAGGGAAGATATGTTTACCAAGATTCCTGCTGGGTTGAACACTGAGTTGTGAACAGTAACATCAGCAACTTTCTGGTTATTACGTAGCCATTTTTATAGCTTCTCTGTGGTTCGTACAAACATTTTTATTTGAAAATGGCAAGTAGTAAACTTTTAAAAATGGGAATATTGATATCTTATATTTCATTTTAGAATGTTTGTCTTGAACTTAAAAATTACCTACTTAGTAAAACCCAAGAGATGTTTGCTTCCTTAAATATGAAGACTCAATGTGAGGAAACAAATTCAACATTTCTAGGTGATCAAGGGTCTGGTTTTAGAAGATTTTCATTTTTTATTGTTAGAGTTTAAACTGAAGGGACTACTATTTGATTCATTAAGCATTTTAGGATAACTCACGATGGCCAGTTAGGCAGACGATATAAAAATACTTTTTATTTTCATTGTCTCTTGGCTTCTAAGCTCTGCCACATTAATAGTCCAGAAGGCCAGGGGACCATTCCTATCTCTTGGTTCCACTTTCTGGGAAGTTCTGTCACTTCTTTCCATTCCCCAGTGTGCAGAAACCACCCCAAAGTGCTCATCAGCTGATACTGAGGTAATCCAGGTAGGCAGGACTACAATGGTAGATCTTACCTGATGCTGTGATGCTCCAAGGCGCCACACAAGTCTTTCACAATAACTGGCATTCTCTGAGTGCTTACTATGTGTCGGGCATTGGCTCAAGTGTATTACATGCATTATTGCGTTACTATTCTTATCTCCATTTCACCAATTAGAAAACTGAGGCTTAGAAAGGTTAAGCAGCTTGCCCAAGATTACACACAGCAGTTAAGAGCTGGGATTTGAGCCAAAGCAGAAACCACACTCTTAACCATTCCACACTATACTGGTGCAGACATAGCTGGATGCCGACTATCAACTCTGCTTGTTACAACCCCTTATTATCTGTTAAGGATGGCAAGATAGCTAGATAACTAAAAAAGTAAGAATCAGTGGTCTTTTTGGGAAAGAGGCATGGATTAGAAAACAGAGTATGTGCAGTATTCTTGTTGTTTTTCAGGTATGCCTATTATTACACTGGAATCGGTGCTGGTGTGCTTGTTGCTGCCTACATTCAGGTTTCATTCTGGTGCCTGGCAGCTGGAAGACAAATACACAAGATTAGAAAACAGTTTTTTCATGCTATAATGCAACAGGAGATAGGCTGGTTTGACGTGCATGATGTTGGGGAGCTTAACACCCGGCTCACAGAGTAAGTACCCAGTTGTATCTTTAACTCAGACATGGTTCTTATTCTTAGTAAAATGAAAGCGATGTCATCAGATCTGTTAGGAGGTTAGTGCATCACTCAGAAGTAGTTATGAGACTAAAGTCATTCTGACAGCGACCATGTCTTAGGCGTCTTTTTGTTCCCAGTACTCTAGCAGGGCATGAGGGGACCTGCGTGACTAGCCCCGAATGAGGGATTGCACTTGCCAGATTCAAGAAATCCTCGGAGAGTGTGCAGTAGAGCAACAACATGATGCTTTCTGGGGATATTTCCCAGCAAGAGCCTTGGATGTTAATTAATTTACCACAGGCTAAAACAAACCAGAAACAACTAGATTCAGGAGAAAAGTTCTGTGTTCACAATTCTGATGTTTATTTCTAACACTATCTGTTCTTTTAGTGATGTCTCCAAAATTAATGAAGGAATTGGTGACAAAATTGGAATGTTCTTTCAGTCAATAGCAACCTTTCTCGCCGGTTTTATATTAGGATTTACACGTGGTTGGAAGCTAACCCTTGTGATTTTGGCCGTCAGTCCTCTTCTTGGACTGTCAGCTGCCATATGGGCAAAGGTAGGTGAATCCAGATTTGAAACTGTCTCCACCCCAACCCCCCCACAGTGGAAGGCTGTTTCTACCAAATGATGACCCCGACTCTATACTTGATCCTTAGTTTTAAATCTTCTGTTCAAAATCAGTGGGAATAAGCAGATGCAGCCTCTGTGTCCTGCTCCTGCCAGGACTCCATGCTGTCCTGGGCCATGTGGTTATCTGGGGAAGAGATGAGAAAGAAAGAAGCAGCTCTCGTATCTCATGTTCCCCTTCATGTAAAAGGCATGCTCACCTCTTAAAGAGCTGTGTTCTGTAGTAGACAGACTCCATATTTTCACAGCAAATATGGAGTCAAGTTCAGTGAACAGCATGTGTCCCATTCAATTAACAAACATTATTGGTTTAAATGTTTTTGGTTTTGAAGATTTTGTTTAGTTTTTAAACTGATTTTACAGTTTTGTCAGTATTGTAAATGGTTTTATGTTTATACAGATTTGAATGCATTGGTAGAAAATAATTTTAAAAAATACTTTCTAGTCCCATATGCATGTAAATCCTAAGCATGCAGTTCTCTCTCCCAATCACAAAGGCAGAGCAGTACAGATGGCCTTCTCCACCTCTGCACAATGATCTTTTGAGACTTATTTTCCTTTTTAAGACTGGGTATGGTGTTCATTTTAAACTGATTTGATGTAAGAGTGGGTTGTGGTCGAGAGATTGACCGAGAATGTAATTTCTGTTGGGTTCAAAACAACTTGGAGAAAGCATTACAAATTCATGTGACCAAAGGTTATACAATAATGGAGGGCCAACCAAAGCCAAGACTAACACAAAATAAATCAGGCTGTAAATATGAAGAACTTTTACATTTTTTACTCTGTAGGATGGATATTGTTTTGCTCTTGCAAATAGTAACTACCATTTATTGAGCATCTAGTATGTCAGGCAAATACATATGTTATCTTTCTGAAGTATAGGTATTATCTCATTTTACAGAGAAAGAAACTGAAGTTCTGAGGACTATGTTAATTTGTTGCTCAGAGAAATACAGGGTTTAAATGGTGTTCTTAGTAAAACAGCATCTGTATGAGTCAGCTGAAATATCTGGCAAAAGCTTTGTGTGTTAGTTAATTTTTTATTTACTAGAATATTAAGCAAGTTAGGTGGCAAACTCTTATCAGTATCTCCTTAAAAACTGTTTAAAATGTATTGATGCCCATTCTAGTTAAGTTAGGAAAACAGACAGTAAGTTAATCTTTTACCAATTAATTATACGTTGCTTCAGATACTATTTATTTAATAAACAGAGCCCCAGGCTTATTGCTGGAGACCTAAGTTTAAATCCTCACTCTGCCATAAATATTTGGTATGATTTCAAACAAATTGCTTAAATTCTCTCGTTGTCAGCCATATTAAAAAGCAAATCTGGCCTAGCCTGGGAAGCCTCTTTGTCCTTGTGAGCTGAGGCTGTCCTCCCCAACCCTGAGACACTGGGGCAAGAAGGCAGAGTAGGAAGGGACCCAGTCACAGCAAGCTTCCTGGTGCAGGAAGCCTCTTTAGACCTGTGTGCTGACGCCTCTCTTCCCTCACCCAGAGACACTATGGTGGATAGAGAGCACAGGTAGGGGAAACCACAACACCCTGCCCCACCAAAGGATACTTGGTGCTCTGACCTTAAGAAACCACTTCCACTCCCTCAGGTAGCAGAAGCTGGGGCCAGTAGGAGCCCCAGCAGCTCCAGATAAACCACACCGACAAAAATAATACCACAAAGTCTCTGAATATAAAACTGCTACTGGAACCACACCTCACAAAAGTAGGCCAAGAATTGCAGGCTAAACCCAAACAAGGTAACTGCTTGCTAAAATAAAAGCTTTAAATAGGACCCAGAGTCTCCTAACATAATAGACAAAATGTCCAGGATACAATAAAAAGTCACTTGTTTTACCAAGAACCAAGAAAATCACAACTTGAATGAGAAGAAAACAATCAATTGAACCGACACTCAGATAAATCAGATGTAAGAATTATTTGACATGGATTTTGAAACAGCCGTCATAAAAATGCTTCACTAATCATTTACAGCTTCTCTTGAAACAAAAGAAAAAAATAGAAAATATCAGCCATGAAATAGCAGTTATAAAAAAAGGACAAAATGAAACTAGAGAAGCGAAAGATAAAACAGCAGAAATAAAAGTCGTGCTGGATGGGCTCGATCTGGTTGAGTGGAGATGACAGGATAGAATCAGTGTACCTGGAGACGGCACAACAGAATTCACCCACTCTGAAACAGAGAGAAAATGGAAAGAGACTCAGGGATCTGTGGAAAAATAGCAAAAGATCCAACATTTGTTACCATTGAGGCCCCAAAAGAAGAGGAGAAAGAGAGTGGGGCTGAAGGAGTATTGGAAGAAATAATGGCTGAAAGCTTCCAGTATTTGGTGAAAGACAATGCTTCAGATCCAAGAAGCTGAGCTAACCCCAGACAGGGTAGAAATCCATGCCAAAGCCCATCATAATTAAACTATTGAAAACTAAAGACAAAGAAGAAAATCTTGAAGTCAGCTAGAGAGAAACACAGTACCTATAGGGGAACACCAATTTGAATGACAACATATTTCTCATCTGAAACCATGAAGGCCAGGAGGAAGTGGCATAATATTTTTCAAGTGCTCAAAGAAAAGAACTGTGTGCGCTGTATGTGGTAAAATTACTCTTCAGGAGTGATGGGGAAATAAAAACGTTCTCAGATCAAGGAAAACTATAAGAATTTTCCACTAGCATGCCTAGTGTTAAAGACTGGCTAAATTAAGTTTTTCAAACAGAAAGGAAATGATAAAAGCAATATTGGAAGATCAGGAAGGGAAACGGAACACCAGAAAGAGCAGAAATTTGGGAATATACAATAGACTTTCCTTTTCCCCAGGAGATTTCTAAATTATATTTGATGATTGAACCAAAAAAACCAAGTGGTAAAATATTGATGCCAGTGGATTTTTATAACTCACATATGAACATTACAGAGTAACCATTATGAAACCCAAGCAAAAGATATATTCACAAACATTGTAAATAAATCAAGATTGAATCCTAAAACTTGATCAAGAAACCTGCAAGAAGGCAAGAAAAGAGAAGCAGAGCAATGAGAACCAGAGGAAACAAATAGAAAAGAAATAATAAAATGGTAGACATAACTGGTAACATACCACTAATAACTTTAAATTGAAACAGTTTAAATATACCAATTAAAAGAGAAATTGGCAGAGCAGATTAAAAAAACATGACCCAACTATATGCTGCTTACAAGAAACTTCAAATTTAACAACATAGGTAGAATGGAAGTATAGGATGGCAAAAGATACATCTTACAAACATTAACTTAAGGAAAAGAGTGGCTATTTTAATATCTGATAATGTAGACTTCAGAACAAAGAAAATTACTATTAAAAAAGAGGAACATTACATAATAATAAAAGGATCAATCCTTCAGGAAAACATAATGATCCTGAATGTGTATGACCCAAATAATGTAGCCTCAAAATACATGAAGTAAAAACTGAGAGAGTTGAAAGGAGAAATAGAAAAGTCACAATTGTAGTTGGAGACTTCAACACTCACTTCTCAGCACTGATAGAACTACTAGACAAAAAATCAGAATACAGAAGATCTGCCCAACACAATCAACCAATCGGATCTAATTGGCATTTATAAAATACTCTACCCAACAACAGCAGGATACACATTTAAACCTTCACCAATATAGATCATATGCTGGACCATAAAACAAACCTCAACAAATTTAAAAGAATTGAAACCATAAAGTGTGTTTTCTCTGACTACAGTGGCATCACACTAGAAACAAAGAACAGAATGACAATGAGAAAATCTCTAAACGTGTGGGAATTAGGCAATACATTTTAAAATAATCCATGGATCATAAAGAACATTTCAAAGGAAAAAGTGCATATAAGTAAATGAAAACAAAAACCAAAATATCAAAATATTTGGGATACAGCTAAAGAAGTGCTGAGGGAAATTTGTAGCATTAAATGTCTACATTAGAAATGAGGAAAGGTCTTGAATCAGTAATATAAGTTCCAACCTCAAGAAACTAGAAAAAGAAGAGCAAAATAAAACCAAGTCAAGGAGAAGAAGGAAATAATAAAGGAAAGAGCAGAAATCAGTGAAATTGAAAATAGGAAAATAATGAGAATATCAATAAAACAGAAAGCTGATTCTTCAAAAAAAAGCAATAAAAAGACACAAATCACAGTATCAAGAATGAAATAAAGGATATCACTACAAATTCCGTGGGCATTAAAAAGATAATAAGGGAATACTACAAAAAACTTGACACTCATAAATTTGAAAACTTAGAGATCAAATCCTTGATAACTACAAACTACCAACACCCAACTACAATGAAATAGACAATCTGAATAGTCCTATAATCATTAAAGAAATTTATTCTGTAATTTCAAAGCTCTTGAGAAAGAATTCTCCAGGCCTAGATGATTTTACTGGAAAATTCTAGCAGATATTTAAAGAAGAATTAACACCGATTTTATACAGTCTCTCCCAGAAGAAAACACTTTCTCTTCTTTCTCTCAGAAGAGGGAACACTTCCCAACTCATTTTATGAGGCCAGTATAGTCATACCCCACATAATCACGTTTCAGTCAACAACAGACCGCATATATGACGGTGGTCCCTTAAGATTAGTACCATATAGCCTAGGTGTGTAGTAGGCTATACCATCTAGGTTTGTTTAAGTACACTCTATGATGTTCGCACAGAGACAAAACTGCCTAATAATGCGTTTCTCAGAACATAGCCCTGTTGTTAAGTGACAGATGACTATATTACCCTGATACTAAAACCTGACAAAGGAAATACAAAAAAAGAAATCTGCAGACCAATACCTTTCATGGACTAAGAAGAAAAATTCCTCAATAACATATTATCAAACCAAATCCAGCAATGTATGAAAAGAATAATATACCACCACCAAGTGGGATTTGTCTCAGCTATGCAAGGCTGGTTCAGCATTTGATATCCATCAATATAATCTACCATATCCATAAGCTAAAGAAGAAAAATCATATGATCATATCAATTGACACAAAAAATCATTGGACAATATCCAACATCCATGGATGATAAAAAAAAAAAACCTTCTCAGCAAGTCAAGAATAGAGGGATACTACCTCAACTTGATAAAGATCATCTGCAAAACCCTACAGCTAATATCATGCTTAATAGTGAAAGATTGAATGCTTTTCCTCTAAGATGGGAATAAGGAAGGCAAGGAAGTCTGCTCTCACCACTTTTTTTCAACAAAGTACTAGAACTTCTAAGCACTGCAGTAAGGCATGAAAAAGAAAGAAAAGGCATATAGATTAGACAGGAAGAAATAAAACTATATCTACTTACAGATTGCATTTTTTCTATGTAGAAAATCCCAAGAAATCTATAAACAATCTCCTAGAACTAATAACAGAGTTTGGAAAGGTCACAGGATACTAGATCAATTGCATTTATACATACTAACAATGAACATGCATAAACCAAAATTTAAATATTAAATTACAATTAATATCACTGACAATCACTCCAAATAAAATGAAATACTTAGGTGTACACTTCATAAAACATATGTGGGATCTGTATGGTGAAAATTATTAAATGCTGATGAAGGAAATCAAGGCTAAATAAATGGATAGATATGGTGTGTTCATGGATTAGAAGACTCTACATAGTAAAAATGTCAGTTCTTTCCAAACAGATCTGTAGGTATAAGGCATTTCCTGTAAAAAATTTTAGTAAGGTTTTGTGTAGACATACACAAGCAAGCTTCTTCTAAAATTTATATGAAAAGACACAGGCCCTAGAATAGCTAAAACAATCTTGACAAAGAAGAATAAAGTGAGAGGAACAAGTCTACCTGATATGAAGCTTACTATATAGCTATAGCATATTGGTGGAGGGATAGACACATAAATCAATGAAACAATAGAGAACCCAGAAACAGACTTACACAAATATGCCCAGCTGATTTTTGACAAAGGTACAAAAGCAATTCAATAGAGGAAGAATAGCCTTTTCCACAAATAGCGCTGGAGCAATTGGACATGCACAGGCAAAAAAAAAAAAAAAGAACCTCAACCTAAATCTTACATTGTATATAAAAATTACCTAAAAACAGTTCATGGACTTACATGTAAAATGTAAAGCTATAGACCTTTTAGAAAAAGACATAGGAGAAAATCTTTAGAATCTAGGCTTAGGCAAAGAGTTCTTAAACTTGACACTAAAAGCTCAATCCTTAAAAAGAAAAATTTATAAATTAGATTTCATCAAAATTAAAAAGTTTTGCTGTGTAAAAGCATGTGAGGAGGATAAAAAGATCAGTTACAGACTGGGAAAAAATTATATGCAAACCACACACCTGACAAAGGACTAGTATCTGTAATACATAAAGAACCCTCAAAACTCAATAGTAAAAAACAAACAAATTAGAGAATGGGCAAAAGATATGAACAGACATTTTATCAAAGAGGATCTACAGATGGCAAGTAAGCACATGAAAACTTGTTCAGCATCATTAGCCATCAGTGAAAAGCATATTAAACTACAATGAGATATCACTACACATCTCTCAGAATGGCTAAAATAGAAAATGGTGAGGCCAGCCCCATGTCCTAGTGGTTATGTTTGGCATGCTCCACTTTAGTGGCCCAGGTTCAGTTCCCAGGCGTGGACCTACACCACCCAAGTGGCCATGCTGTAGCAGCGACCCACATACAAAATAGAGGAAGATTGGCACAGATGTTAGCTCAGGTCAAATCTTCCTCAAGCAAAAAGAGGAAGATGGACAACAGATGTTAGCCGAGGGCGATTCTTCCTCAGCAAAAAAAAAAAAAAAAAAGTGAGACACAAAATGCAGACAAGATGCAGAGAAACCAGAACACTCCTGGATGTCTGGTGGGAATGTAAAATGGTATAGCCACTCTGGAAAACAGTTTTGCAGTCGCCTATAAAACTAAACATGCAATTACCTTACAGTCTAGCAATTGTACTCCTGGGCCTTTATCTGAGAAAAAGAAAATTATCTTCACATATCAACGTGCATTCAAATGTTTATAGCAGCTTTATTTGTAATAGCCACAAACGGAAACAACCCCAGATATCCTTCAGCAGGTGAATGGTTAAACAAACTGTGGTCCATCCATATCATGGAATACTACCCAGTGATAAAAAAGAAAGAACTATCTATACCCACAACAACCTGGATGACTCTTCAGAGAATTATACTATATGAGAAAAGCCAATTCCCAAAGGTTATGTACCATATGATTCTATTTCTATAATATTCTTGAAACGACAGAATTATAGACATGAGAACAGATTAGTGCTTTTCAGGGGTTAATGGTGGGGAGGAGAGGAGAGGGACAAAGAGGTGGCTGTGGCTATGAAAGGTAGCACCAAGGGATCCTTTTGATGGAATTGTTCTGTATCATGACTGTACTCACATGAATCTACATAGTTGCTAACATTGCTTAGAACTATACAAACACACAAAGGAGTGCATGTAAAAGTGGTAAATCTGAGTAACATTGATGCATTAATGTTAAATGTGAAATCCTGGTTGGGATATTGTTCTGTAGTTTTCAGGATGTTACTATTGGGGAACACGAGATGAAACATATATGGAATCTCACTGTATTGTTTCTTAGAACTTCATATGAGTCTACAATTATCTAAGAATAAAAAGTTGAAAAAACATAAAGCATGTATAAATTATCTAAAAACAAAACAAAATCCTACATTGAGAAATGGGACAGAGATGAAAGTCAAAACATCTGTAGTGGTCAAAAATATTGCTTCTGAATATATTAGTTTGAACAATACCAAATAGCCTATGTTATTAGACAGCTTTTAACTTACAGAAATAACAATTTCCTATGTCTCAAATGAATACAATTAGGCTTTGTTAAGAAATTAGCAGCCTTTGGAAGAAGGGATGAGTTAGTGATACTATCTGTAATTTATGTGGGTAATTGTAATAATGGAAGTATCACCATTCTATTATTTTATATCAGAGGAACAGTGGAAGGATATAGCTTTTCATATCGCTAAGAATAGTATGGGGTTTTGTTTGTTTTTTGTTAAAAGACTTGATCTCCTAAAAAACAAAACAAAACACTTGACGAAGATTATACCATAGTCTTGCCTAAGCATCTGCTTATAATTATGGAAGTTCACAGAAGGGAAAAAGAGCTAGGTTTACTGAATTAATCGGTACTTGATATATTAATAAATTAAAATAGCATATTTTGAAACTCCTAATTCAAAAATATTTCTGGTAATCTTCCTGTTGTTGGCTGCCTCTGGTGTGGGTGATTGTTGTGAGGTGAGTTTTCAAGAGGAGCAGAGACGAATAGCTGATTCATATTGTGTGGGCCTCTTATCTTATGCAGACCTGTTTATTCAGGGATGGCGGTGACCACACTGCCTCAGACCCAGCGCTATGAATCATTCTGGCGAGTGTGGCGGGGCAGCCCGAGGAAGGTGGCTTTGAGAAGTCAGGAAGATTTGGGGCATCATGGGTTATTGCTTTGGGTACCAAAGAAGATGAAGTACATGCAGCACAATATCTGCACATGGAACATAGTTACGAAATGTTCATTTGTCTTCACCCACCGGTCCCCACATCATAGCTCCTTTTACTTTCCCACACAGCAAAGGAAGAAATGCACTGTTAAAATCAAAACAAGTTTGAGCTTTTTCTGACAGTATGGAATAGACTGATATTACTTCATCCAGATGAGTCCACAAATGCCTGTAAACTATTTATTCAAAAGTGTAATACTATTTAATCAGATTTTTATTATGAATTGCTTGTGTGTATAATCTTTAGTTCTATGGTTGACTACTTAGGCATCCCAGGTACAAATAGTAACCTTAGTCCTTGCCCTGCCAGTTGATCCAATTTTCATAATAGGGCCCTCTGGGATCCCAGTTCACATGTCAGTGGCTGGTTTCAGAGAGAGAGAGAGCCACTCCAGTGGCTGTTAATTCAGACTTTGAAGCCATATGGACTGAGCCTTGAATCATGGATATTTCCCTTACTAGCAAATAACCTCTTCATCTCTCTATTTCCTCATATATAAAATGGGGGAAATAATACCTACTTTACGTCCAATTGAGAAGAATAAGTGAGATCCTGTGTATACAAAGTACCCAGTTCTGTTCCTTCCATGGAATAAATGCTCAGGAATCAAACAGAAGGATCAAGGAGCATCCATAAAACAAAGACCTCCCTGGTGGCTGAATGTATTGCTTTGCTTAGGAGCCACCAGCAAAGTGAATTGTCTGCTTCCCATGGCATGTGAAACCTTCTTTAAGTCCTGTCAGAGCACAGCACTTGGTCCCCTGTGTTCTTCTGGCCTCCCACCTTGACACTTCTGTACCAGAATACCACTAGCGGTGTGTGTCTCAACACACACCGTATTTCCTTGATAGAATGCCTTTTTTTCTATTTTTCTTTACGGTTTTGGTATACACCTCCTTTTCTGAAATTTAAGATCTCCTGGAAGTCACAGTTTTATTCATTTAGATGAGGATCCATGAGGTATTTCGTGAGAAAATAAAACTTTTGTTATAATTTATCTACCATCTCAGTCCAAAAAGAATTTGAAGTGGCTTACAGAGTGAATATATATACTAAAAAATAGAAGATCATGACCAAAGACAAGTAAAAGATTTTCTTCTACACATACATGAACATACAAGCAGCATTTGTGTATATATTCATTTTTACTTTATGAAAGATACAATTAACTTGTTAAACAGTTTTAAATGGTCTGAAATTGCATTTTTAAACAGATACTCTCTTCATTTACTAATCGAGAACTCTTGGCGTATGCAAAAGCTGGAGCAGTCGCTGAAGAGGTCTTGGCAGCATTCAGAACTGTGATTGCATTTGGAGGACAGAAGAAAGAACTGGAAAGGTTTGAGTCTCTTTTTTTAAGTTGATAGAAATGTTAAATTTTGTGTCATCTTATATGCCTTTCAGGTTGACAGTGTCGATTATAAGTAAGGAAATATATATATTTCCTTACGTAGCTTTATGGATATATTACAGCATAGCTAATACTCTGGAAAAGTTGCAATTCTAGTTGTACCCTTCTTATATCTGCTAGGTGGGTAGCAACATAGAATATTTTCCTAAGTATGAAACATACTTTATATCTCTGATGACAATTTTTTGCCTATCAAGTTAATAATTGATTTTCTCAGATTAAATGAGTATTTTGTGTAAGATCTATGGGGACATTTAATCCCTTTAATTGGGAGGTTACACATTGTTTGGTAGAGCCATAAATAAGAACAAGGGATTTTTATGTGAGAATAATGGTTCCCTCTGGGGCAGATAAGGAGTTGGTAATAAGAGTGGGACACATGGCCAGAGCTCCTGTGGCTCTGGCAGTGTTCTGTTTCTTGACCTCAGTTGTACTCACATGGGTGTTCTCTGTGTAATTATTCTTTAAACTGTACATGTGTGTCTGGAGTACATTTTTGTTCATATGATATATTTCATACCCACAGAGATATCCCTTGAGAATAATTTGTGATGGCTAAGTCCCTACCATATTTCAAAGGAAAGCATGATCTATGTTCTGTCTCAATTTGTGCTAAGGTTTTGCTTTTTCTTTAAAATATGTCTGACTAATAAAATGAGAAGTCTGCTTAATGACCAGGCAAACATCCAGACAAATCCATACAGCCCTCCTCTCTTGGAGCGGACATTCTAGCAGGGGGAGGGGAAGGGTACCGACAACCACAAATCAACGAAAGATGTAATATATCAGCTGAGGTCAATATTATTTGGGGAAATGAAATACTCTATTAGAGTCATAGGGGCTACTATTTAGAGAGATTATTGAGACAAGTCCTTTCTGAATACTTAATGTTGAGCAGACACAGAATGAAAAATTCTTTTCCAGTTTTCCTCAGTGGAAATTGGACCAGAAAAAGAATATGTCCACCACCACGGGGAGACAGACAAAGCTTATGTGCTTCTGTCTAGTTTCTGAGCTGGGGGAGAGCATCTCTCCATAGAAATCAAAATCTCAGGCCTCCCCCTCAGGTGCAGTTAGAGTCTGAATTTTTAGTCCCCTGTGGACTAGGGAGCTCTCTCTCCCCAAAGCTGAGGATTTCACGTTAAAAATGAATCCTCAGGGCCAGCCCGCTGGCGGATGGGTTAAGTTGGCGTGCTCCGCTTTGGTGGTGCTGGGTTCGCTGGTTCAGATCCTGGGTGCAGACGAACGCACCACTTGTCAAGCCATGCTGTGGCAGGCGTCCCATATAAAGTAAAGCAAGATGGGCACGGATGTTAGCCCTGGGCCAATCTTCCTCAGCAAAGAGAGAAGGCTAGGCAACAGGTGTTAGCTCGGGGCTAATCTTCCTCACAAAAAAAATATATAAAAAAAAGAATCCTAGTCCAGTGATACCACTAGTGTATCAGGTAGAAAAAATGAAAAATTGCTGAGAATTAATGAACTAAGCATATAAATTAAGAAGTTAGAAAAAGACCAACAGAGTAAAGGAAGTATAGGAAGGAATTAATGAAGATGAGAGCAAAGATAAATTTAGTAGAAAATAAAGGTAAAAAAGCAGAGGGTTGACAAATCTATAAACGAATTCTTTGAAAAGACTAATAAATAACCAAGTATCCTGTAAGTTTAATGAGGAACAAAAGAAGAATGAATAAGAAAAAATTGCTACAGGTAAAAAAACTATTTAAAAAATTACAGTTTTATACCAATAAATGTTTAAAATCCTGATGAAATAGACAATATCCTAGAAAAAGGATATCCTAGATTAAAACTCTCACTTAAGAAGAAGAAAACTTGAGTAGACCTATAATCATTAAAGGAATTGAATCCACAGTTTAAAGATCTCCATCCCCTGCCCCTACATACACATACACACATAAACAAGCATAAGCCATCAGTCCAGATAATTTTACAGGCAAGTTCTACCAAAACTTCAAGAAAGAGATAACTCCATCTTACACAAGTTGTTCCAGAGAATGAGGAAGAATATATAGGAAATTGTGAGTTCATTTTATGAGGCTAGTGTAACATTGATATCACAACCAGACATGCATATGAGAAAGGAAAATTATAGGACAGTGTCACCTAAACCACAGATGCAGAAAGTCTAGAAAAATTATTGGCCAAACAAAGCCATGTGAAAAGTATCAGGATTCAAAGTAAATCGTGAACATCTTGGTTTTATCTCATGAATGCAAAGATGGTATAACATTAGGAAATCTATTAATATAATTAACCATGTTAAAAGATTAAAAGAATGAAACTTTTTTTTTGATGGATGGGAAAAAACATTAATTACCTATATTTCATGACAAAAACTCTTATAACTAGGAATAAGAAATGACTTTCTTAAGCTAATAAAGATTCCGCAGGAAATTTCATACTCGATAAAATTTTAAAAGCATTCCTTTTAAAAATAAAGAATGAAACAAGTACGTCTGCTAGAATCATTTCTATTTAGGATTGTACTGGTACTAGATAATAAGAGGAAGGAAAGAAAAAAGAGTAAGAATAATAAAAGAAAACAAAAAAGAAAAGCTTTCAAAGTTGGAAAACTAGAAGCAAAACTGTCATTATTCACAGATGATATGATTGTCTACATAGAAATTCCACTAGACTCTGCAGACTAACAATGTAGAGTAAGATCTCTGGGTAACCTGATCATGATTCAGAAAAAATGGCATTCCTGTGAACAATTAGAAAACATGTAGTATCTCTTCAGTTCTAAGATGCACTATTTCTCTCGCAATCCACCCTCTCTGAAATAGAGAAAAATCATAAAGTCAGTGTCATCTTAGAATTGCTGTGGGTCCGGATTGAAGTCGAGTTCTTCCAGGCAGGATTTGTGTTTGCTTCTGCCATTCACTGGGGGCACTACTAAGCTGAGACGACCTTACCTTAAGTTCTTTGTCCAGGAGTTTTTGAACCACATGGGTAGTGTGAATTCATAGTTCAGACCTGCATGAGTACTGCCTTATGGCCCGGAATCTCAGAGGAGGTGTTTTGTTCACCTCAATTTTTGCCAGGGTTGAGATAAGCTAGTTCTCCTGCTGTCACTTTGCATGTGTCACGTACTTATTATGCTGAGGCTATAGCCCTTTGGGTCCCAGCTGTATGTGGAGTGTCCTATTAAAATGCCTTCTTAATGCTACATAAAATAACAGAATAACAATACTTGTTACAATTAGTGACATCCTAAATTTGAGGAATGTGATAATACTTTTAATAGATACTACTATTAGCAACAAAAAACTATAATGATGTATGGGATGTAACCTGGGTAAGGAGAGAAAAGACATTATGGGAGTCAAGTCCAATATTCCGAACTTAGATAAATCTGATCATTTAGTTCACTGAAAGTTTAAAGGAATTGAGATCATTTTTTTAATGTAATGATTAATGAAGATTGATAAATGATAAATGAAGATGGTGATCAATTTTTTATTATAAGAATAAGCAAATGGGTTTACACAGCTATATTCCAAGACTGATTTTATGTGTGGAATCGTTTTTTCAGAAGATACTAGTTACTGGAATGTATCTTTGAAAGGACGTGCTCCCTTGGAGAACTGGAAATTAGATTTGCCTGGAGATCAAGAGTAGACTTAAGACTACAACCTAATGACCTAAGGTTCTTTCCACTTTGGCTGTTTCTTGCAAGTTCACTCATTCAACAAATGTAGCCAGCATCTACCACAAGCCAAGCACTGGGCTAGGCTCTGGGTTTTCAATAGTCAATCAGAAATAGAGGATGTCTGCTCACGTGTGAGCCTCAGTTAAAATAGTAAGGTGGAAAAAAGGGAAGGAAGGAAGGGAGGAAAGTAGGAAGGCAGACAAGAAAGAAATCATCAAAGAAATGAATTAAATTACCGATTTTTAAAATGTGCCACAGAAGAATCAAAGAGTGTGCTGATGAGGATGAGGAGGCCAAATTTACTGTAAATATGGTGGTCAGGAAGGCATCTTTGAGGTTTCATCTAGGCTGAGCCCTGAGGGATGAGGAAAACCCTGCTGTAGTGGGAGTGGGGATAGAAGAGTCTCCCAGATTTCCCGAGGTGGCAAAGACTTTGGTATGTTCTAGGAACTATTCCAAGGCTTGTGTGACTGGAGCTCAGTTGAGTGAGGGGAGACTGAGGTGAAGAGAGGCTGTTGAAGGTGGGTGGGGCCAGAACTTGAGGATTTGCAGGCCATGGTGAGGAGTCAGGATTTTATTCCAAGGGCACAGGGAAGCAGTTGAGGATCCTAAAGAAGGGAATGACTATCCATGTTATAAGAGAATTTCTCTGTCTGTAAGTGTCTGGTGAATGGACGAGAGCAGTCAGAGTGGAAGCAGGGAGAACGTTGCGAAGGCTGTTGTAATGGTCCAGGAGGAAGGGCTTGTGGTGGCCTGATCAGGACCTCAGGCGGGAGAGGGGTGACAAGTACATAGATACGGGATGTTTTGGAAGTAGAATTGATAAAATTATCTTAGAGCAAATATAATCCTTCAGTTTTCTTTCTCGTTCTACCTCTTCCCTTCTCTGCTTCCACCAACACAAGTAACTAAGGTCTTAGTCTTTCTCTTCAAATTAGCAGCTGCAGGAGGAAGCTGGCTGTGTTGGAATGGAAATTTAAGCAGAATCTAAAATGAATTTAATTCAGTAGTATATAATAGTTTTCTTCTCCTGATTTAAAAACATTTTCTCCCTTCTGTCTTACAAATGTTTACCTATTAGTATTGATTTGTTTGCTTAACTAAAATTATTCCTTGTTCTTATAAGTGGCTATTTGCATCACTGATAAATGTTTTCATAATATTTAAGAAGAATAATCTTTTCTAAATATCAATGTTTTGTTTTGTAACTTTAGGCCATTTTAGGAACTCCTGCTTTACCTACCATTTTCATACTAATGCTTTTAATGAATGGATGATTTTGATATCGGGTTTTTTATTGTGATAATTTTATTGAAATGCTAATCAAAAAGCCTGTGTAAAAGGAGTATTGTTTATGTCCCCTCCCTCCTTACCCCCTTTGTTTCTTCATTTATCTTTTCTGGTATCTAAATGATTTTCTTCCTTACTGTTGCTTTTTCCTGTGCAAATGTTTCTTCTGGCTGCATGGGACAACAACATATGAGTGAAATGATTTCTGCATTTGTCTCGGTAAGGAAGAACTGACTAAAGGAGAAAACAGGGTGTGAGTCACAAGCCTTCAAGTTCCTTAAATGTAATCCTTATGACTAGTAGTAACTTTCACCTCAGGTCAGCTCATAAAGTGAGAGAGCTATATATATATATCAACCATTGAAACACGTTTCTCAAAAATAATTTTTTTATTCAAAGATTATAACTGGCAAGTTGGGGGACATTTTTGTGGGGAGAAACTCTAATGTTACTATTTTATCACTATAAAATTGTTTCGATTTGGTCTTTAGGGGACATGGTGGCCATGTAAATTTCATTTGGCTTGCTTTTGTAACTGGTAAAGTAGCTGGTTACAAAAAAGTCATGAAGGGCCCCAGCCTGCTGGCGCAGCGGTTAAGTGCGCGCTCTCTGCTTCATTGGCCCGGGGTTCGCAGACCCAGATCCCTGGCGCGCACCGGTCCACTGCATGTCAAGCCACGCTGTGGCAGCATGCCATATAAAGTAGAGGAAGATGGGCACGGATGTTAGCCCAGGGCCAGTCTTCCTCGGGAAAAAAGGGGGAGGATTGGTATTGGATGTTAGCTCAGGGCTGATCTTCCGCACCAAAAAAAAAAAAAAAAAGTTATGAAGGCAAGAAAGAATGCATGCTTATAGCTGAGCAGGGCTTGAACTCTACTGTACATTTAATGGGACAAATCCTCCAAAGAGAATTAATATAATATTTATATAGTCATGTTTTTATGGATTAAAGACTTCAGAATATGAATTCTATGCGGAAGTAAGTTCTTTCATTTCAACAATAATGAACTCCTTCTTTCTGCAAGGCAGTGTTCCAAGGTTCCACAGGGAGTTGTGATTAAGAGGATCAAGGTAGGTTTAAGGCTCAATTGTAATCTGTCCTATTTCTCTAATAATTTTACCTTTATTCTGTATTTGCAAAGATCCTTCTTTTTCTTTGAATCTGGGCCCCATTAGCTTATCTCCACATCTCTCTTCTTTAGCAGAAGAGTCTTCTGTGTTCCTTTCAAATGAAGGTAAAGTTACAGACAACATCTCCTTTAACTTGAACATTAGAAATTAACTGCTCTCCAAGGGTTTAAAAAGTACTGAGTTATCATCTGGGAGTCAGCTTGAAGTCATTAGAACCGGAGAGAGAAAATGTGTCAGTAGTCTTCAGCATAGTTTTTGTCTTTTGTTCGCTTCCTTGTTTTGCCATCCTTTGTGTAATTCCCTGTATTTTCTCTAAGAAGTATTAATGGGTGTTCTTCAAGTTTGGCCAATATAGTGCAGACCTTTGTGCTGTGTATGGGTTACAGGGTTATAGATGTGCTGAGATCTTGATTTGCTCAGCCCATGAAGTAGCCAGAAGGCCTTGGGTAGCCCGAGCCTCTTCCTCCAGCAGTGAGCAGCCATGACATGACCAATGTCGGGAAGCATTGAGAGAGGGAAAGGGATGTAGGCAATGTGTAGAAAGGCTAAGGAAGGGGATGTGGATAAGTAATGATGGATTAATATACATTTTTAAGCCAAATAATTTTTGCAGGTCAGTGATTTTAAGAACAAACTTTTTTGGGAATAAGAGAAACTATACAGTTTATTTAGTATTCCATAGCAATTCAAAGCTCTCAAAATACTCTTGCACGTGTATCCTCTCAGTCAGTCCTTCCAGCAGTCCCAGGGGGACGCAGGATGGAGAGTACACTATTTCCAAAGTTTCCCTAACTTTCAGAGATTTAGAGGACTTACTCATGTGGAGCAGTTTCTAGCATTATAAGTGCTTCTTTTCATTAGCAAATTTAGAAGGCGTGCAGATTTTAAAGGGAAAACAAGTATTTTCATAGCTTCTAATTTTGTCTTGTGTATGAAGCAATCCAAGTTCTAGAAGTTTGCTAAATATGACTTCACTTATTTCACTATTGGTAAGGCCAGAGAAGGAGCTTTTAGAAGACTCTTTCCCCAATTACTTAATGTCTATAAGCCTCAGTTTCCTCTTCTGCAAGAAGGGATTAAAATAGTACTAACATCATAGAGTCAATGTTATGGACAAAAGGAGAAAATACATGAAAAATGCCTACCGCAGGGCCGGGCACTTTCTAAGTACTCAAGAACCATCATAGTATATTGACCCATTTCATAAGATTTGTGAGTATATATGATGATATTTGTTATTTCTCCTAGGTACAACAAAAATTTAGAAGAAGCTAAAAGAATTGGGATAAAGAAAGCTATTACAGCCAACATTTCTATAGGTGCTGCTTTCCTGTTGATGTATGCATCATACGCTCTGGCATTCTGGTATGGGACCTCCTTGGTCCTCTCAGGAGAATATTCTATTGGGCAAGTACTCACTGTAAGTGATGCTATATTAAGAAATGAATCTTTATTAAAAATGCCAGTGAAATTGAGTGGTGTTGGCTTGACTGTAGGAGAATATATGTTGAAGAACTATTGAATAATACAAAGAGATACCCACTACTAGGTTAAAATGTAGAAAGGAAATTAGATATATTCAACAGACACTTTTGTCATTTTTTAGGTCCCTTGCACAGTTTAATCTGTAGCCTAAATAATGTTGACATCACCTATCTCTATAGCATGACCTTTGATTTGTTGAGATTCTTTCTTTGTGCCAGACTCTATGCTAAGCACTTCACTTTTAGATTCTTATTTACTATTCACAACATCAAATGGAAAAATACCAGTCTAACTTCTTTTCAAATTCTTTTGAATGACAGCTAATCTACCTCGTAAATTTATGGAAGTATAAATTGTTACTTTCCTAAAAGAATCTCCCATTTAGAAGTTCTCTGCCTTTCAGACCTCTGTACAAGCACAGAAGGCTTGCCATTTGATGCTATCCTCTTTTATTTAAAGACAATGAAATAATTCACAAATCAAGCTCAATCTGTATCTTGATCTAATAAAGTACATACTTTGGGAGAGTCACTCAGTTCCTTTTTTTTTTTTTTTTGAGGAAGATCAGCCTTGTGCTAACATCCGCCAATCCTCCTCTCTTTTTGCTGAGGAAGACTGGCCCTGGGCTAACATCCGTGCCCATCTTCCTCTACTTTATATGGGACGCCGCCACAGCATGGCTTGACAAGCAGTGCGTTGGTGTGCGCCCAGGATCCGAACCGGCAAACCCCGGGCCGCCGCAGCAGAGCGTGCGCACTTAACCACTTGCGCCACTGGGCCAGCCCCTCAGTTCCTTTTTCATAGGCCAAGCACAAGCATATTGAGTTAACGACAACCGAATTTTGTTGAGTCCCTTAAAACAGTTCCCTTTCTCAGGAACCACATTTGTAATGTGTATATAATAATTGCATCTCATTTTTCCAAACTGTTGCCTCATGCAAAATGTGTGAGGTTATTTAGTTAAGAATGACTTTTACCAAAAAGCTCTTATTAGGATAGTGATGCTGTGGGTGAACATAGGTTGTGATAAGAGGTGTATTCTGCTTAATTATAATGTAGATAAGCAGTTCTAAATCCAGTATTCACTGAATCCACATCTGCCTCACAAACTGCAAGCACCCAGAATAGTAAGAGCTCAGGAATTGATATCAAGCCGACTTGGTTTAGATTCCCGCTGTGCCACTTATTCGCTGTATGATTTGGGGCAGCCACCTAGACTTCTCAAGCCTCGGTTACCTCTTCTGCCAAATGGAAATGACAGGAATGACGTGCCGTAACTTTTAGTGTTGTTGTAAGGCCTAATTGCGAAAACGACTATAGAATCACTTAGCAGAATTCCTTCTACGTAAATTATTGGGTAACCTAATTCCTGTGTGATTTAGAAAGAAATGAATAGTGGCATTAGTTCTCTTTAAGCCTGAAGAGAAACCAAGTCAAGTCTTTACCAACAACAAACTGATTTGGGCAAAATTGAACAAAACCAGAAAGCTGTTTATCGGACTCCAAAGAGAGCGCAGTCTGGTAGCGGAATAAAAGACGTAACCCGAAAAGGAATAGTGTGTTATGTGTGTGGGCTTTATAGTTTACAAAATTGTTTCATTTGATACAACAACTCCCTTAGAGTAAGGAAAATAGATAGAATCTTGCCTGTTTTTGCAAATGAAGAAATGGAAGCCCAGAGACCCTAGGAGAATTGCCTGAAGACATATAGCCAGTTAGTGCTTAATCCGATTCCGATGTGGACCCGGCTCTTCTGCCTCTCCTTCTAGTCTTTCTTTCCAACCTGTGTATACGCTGCTGAAGATCTAACCAAAATACTTAGCAGTAAATAAATATAAATCTATTGTATTCTCATATTCTGGTCCTATAGAACTTACATCATTGTTTCACTGACCAAGTAAGACTAATTCTGCATTGTAAATTGAAAAGTATTTAAACTTTTAAAATGATTTTGACACTCAGTATTCATCAGTTTCCTTGCCATTTTAAAATCTAATTAGCTTCATTAGATGAAAGAAGCAGTATGAAAAAATTGTAGTCAACACTATCTGAGTAACTTTATGGTTTTCCTTCACATTCCTCAGGTCTTCTTTTCTGTATTAATTGGGGCTTTTAGCATTGGACAGGCATCTCCAAACATTGAAGCTTTTGCAAACGCAAGAGGAGCAGCTTATGACATTTTCAGGATAATTGATAGCGTAAGTCTGGGCTAGCCATTTATCCATGTTTCTAAAAGTTTTTCTGATTAAAAGTCAGTATCTTTATCACTTAATCCAACTCTCCACAAATGTCACTAAAAGCAGTATTGTAACCTAGTTATCTTCTGAAATTTCCTTCTGTTTAGAAGCCAAGCATTGACAGCTATTCGACGAGTGGGCACAAACCAGATAATATTAACGGAAATTTGGAGTTCAAAAATGTTCACTTCAGTTACCCATCTCGAAAAGAAGTTCAGGTACAATGATAAATGATTAATCAATGATTCAGCAATGTATTGGATGAAGACTTTCTGATACTTTCCTTTAGAGATTGTAAAAAAAAAAAAAAAAAGTGTATGTAAACCTACTTTGAATTGAACTGTCAGTTCATAGTCCCAGTATCTGTGAGTGGCCTTTAAGTTTACTTGTCTTTTGTCCTGGTAGATCTTGAAAGGCCTCAACCTGAAGGTTCAGAGCGGGAAGACGGTGGCCCTGGTTGGGAACAGCGGCTGCGGGAAAAGCACGACAGTCCAGCTGATGCAGAGGCTCTATGACCCCACGGAGGGCGTGGTGAGATGGCTCTTGCTGAACTGGATGCTGCACCACTCAGCAGTTACCCCTGTAGATCACACGTTACAAATCTGCAGTGTATGAAGATCACACTTCCTCTTTATTTCAGGTCAGCATCGATGGACAGGACATTAGGACCATAAACGTAAGGTATCTTCGGGAAATTACTGGTGTGGTGAGTCAGGAACCTGTGTTGTTTGCCACCACAATAGCTGAAAACATTCGCTATGGCCGTGAAAATGTCACCATGGAGGAGATTGAGAAAGCTGTCAAGGAAGCTAATGCCTATGACTTTATCATGAAACTGCCTAATGTAAGTCCTTCCTGATCTTTGTCGTGCTCGAGGTTCACAGAATAGAATGCTGGCCTAATGCATAAGAAGTTAGGAAACTATTACAAATTGGAGGACCCTCCTAAGATAAGAAATCAAGATTACTTCAGATTTAAAGCTCCAGGAGCATGAACTAATAGCAGGATATTTTTAAAATTTGGGGTTGGTTATTACTAAGTTTTAAGGAACGGGATATTAATGCCTCTGAGGCTTGGGTTGTTTATGAGATTACTTCCCATCTTAAAGTGTGAGCTAACTTGTTCTTTTGCTAAATCTTCCTGTGTTTTCTGTGCTGTAGAAATTTGACACCCTGGTTGGAGAGAGAGGGGCCCAGCTGAGTGGTGGACAGAAGCAGAGAATCGCCATTGCACGAGCCCTGGTTCGTAACCCCAAGATCCTCCTGCTGGACGAGGCCACATCAGCCTTGGACACTGAGAGTGAAGCAGTGGTTCAGGCGGCCCTGGACAAGGTCTGTGAGCCTCAGTTCAAACCGACCTGATTCATAAGCATAAGAACATGCCACTGTGAATTCTTCTTAACATTAAAAAAAAGAAAACTTTTGATTGCTTCTAAAGTGATCCCTTCAGCTATCAAAATAAAATCATCAGGCCTCTTTGCATCTGTTTGTTTGATTTCTATTCATTTCTCTGTTTTTTTTAAGTACAGATGAATAAACTTTCATTGAAAGGCACCTGCAAATTTTAAAAATTTCACAATGAGAAATATAGACTCCAATGAAATTGGTCTTCATTGCAATCTTGAAAACAGCCTTAGAGATAACCCCATTATTTAGGTTTTGTGAGTTTTACTGTTGTCAACAACAGGAAATAAAATCTGAAGCTTCACATTTGATTTCCGAGATGTTAAATGCCTGTTGAACACTCCTTGGGACATGAGAAACCTCTCATCCCCGGGAGGGGGGCTGGAGCCAATGATGTTGGAAACTTACCGAGGCCTTGAAATGTCCTTGACTATCAACAGAGTTTGAGCTTCCTGCAATTCTTGAGTCCATGTAACTCATTCACCAAATCGGATTTGAGTGCTCCAGCTGTGCCAGGCACTGTGCCTGGTCTCTGACATGTAGTGGTAACCGGGCTAGCTCTGTGAGGACAAGGATTGTGGAGACCTTTTAACCCAAAAGTGCTCTGAGGTGAAGTGTCACAGTAGAAGTCAAAGATGAACTCATATTTGTTCCAACTCTCCTCCTCTCTAATAATAAAACAACACTATATCTTCTTTTAAATATCCTGTCAGTGGGCTTAATAGATTGTTGAGGGAGGAAAAAGCAGGTTACTAAAAATTTTCTGACCCACAATAGAGGCAAAAGGGATTGTGGCTGCTTTATTTCCTTTCACTTTGCTTTTCTGTAATTTCACATCTGTGTTTTCTTATTCTACAATGCCTCTATGTATTAAATTATAAATGAAAACAATTTTACAAGGTTGCATTTAAAAATAATTTTTCTTTAGAATGTAAATTTTGGGGGGAATGCAACATGACCCCCTTTGCTTGAAAACATCCAAAAATTGATCCATTGTCTTCTCTACTTCACAGTTGCTGCCACCTAATTTTTCTAATGTGTATTTTTTTATCTTCTCAGAGTTTTCCACTTCTCTTTTACATATTGATCCTAATACCTTCTTTTGTTAGTTTGTTTTGAGGATTTTATTGCTAGTTCCTGGAAAGAAAGAAAGAGTCACAAAAATCATAAGCATTGCGAAAGTTACAGAGGTTAAAGAAATCTCAGAGAAGCTCTGGTTATCTGGCTCTGTCCCATATTAAAATAAAAATGAGATTGGGCATTTAAAAATACTGACATAGCTCTTCAAATTTTCCCTAATGCTTCTACCTAGTAGTAAGTGTCCTTTATTAAGCATTTACTGTGTACGTGTCACAATGCTTTATGAGCATTATTTTAGTCGTCACAGTTACTCTCATTTTGTGTATATGAATAAACTGAACCTCACATAGGTTAAAAGATCTGGATAAAATCCTGGAATTCATAAATGGGAGAACTAAGATTTGAGTTCAGATCAATGTGATGCTGAAGTCTGGACTTTGCTTCCTCACATTTATTGTCCACCTTGACCATCCACTGTCCTGTGAGATAGGACATTATGATGCCCAGGACTGATCGCTAGCTAGTGAGCACCAGTATGGCACACTGGCGTGTGTCTGCTCTGATTGCCCAATGCCTGGGCTGTAGGCTTTTTTTACTTTTATAAGCCCCTGATTATTACTATCAACTTAGGCTGATAGAGATCAAATGAAATACTTAAAGGCTTACATAATGTTAATATGTGACTATCATATGTGTGCTTATATTTATTATAATAAAATATCATTTTAAACCCTTATCTACTGACTCTACATCCATGAAGTGAGAGACTACCTTATATATCTTAGACGGTTTTATAATGTCCAAGGCACTGGTGTTCAGCAAATACATAAGATGAATGAATGAATTTCTGCATGTATAATTATTCATGTATCCAAAAACCAAATTTTTCTCTCTTTAGGCCAGAAAAGGCCGGACTACCATTGTGATAGCTCATCGCTTGTCTACAGTTAGAAATGCTGATGTCATCGCTGGTTTGGATGATGGAGTCATTGCGGAGGAAGGCAATCATGATGAACTCATGAAAGAGAAAGGCATTTACTTCAAACTTGTCACAATGCAGGTATAGTCTGACTTTAGAATTTTCCTACAGTATCTGAGGAATAAGGTGATTTTGCTGTGTTTGGTGCTATAAATAAACATTACTTGAGTTGATTATCTTGAGTAGGAAAAAATACCTGGTGGTTTCAGGATCAGACTAGTGTTTTAAATATGTTTTCCCCTCTTGAAAGAATGGAAAATAAGGAGAATTAGAGAAAAGTAACGAAAAATTTAAAAAGGTTTAAAGCTGAGTTGTCCACTCACTATGGTAGCCACCAGCCACGTGGCTACTGAGCACTTGAATGGTATTTAATCTGAACTGAGGTGTTGTAAGTAGGACGTGCATACCAGATTCCAAAGACTTAGTACAAAAAAAGAATGCAAACTATCTCAATTATGTTTTTACATTGATTACATGTTGAAATGCTAACATCTTGGATACATTAGGTTAAATAAAATATATGATTAAAACTGATTTTACCTCTCTCTTTCACATTTTTTAATGTGGCTACTGAGAAAATCTAAAATGAGAAAGGTGGCTCACAGCTTGGCTTGCACCATCTATTTCTCGACAGCACTGGTCCAAAGCAAATTTGATTCAGCCAAAAACACCCACAAAGTGAAGATGACGAGATAAGATACATGGAATGGATGCTGTGTTATTTGCCCGTATTCAATGGGAATCCTTCTTTGGTGGTTTTAATTTTCATATATATCACAAAAAAATAAATAGCCGTTTAACTTTATCCTTTCCTGTAATGTACTTAAATTACCTTTTTCTTTGATATCTGATGTTCAGCGATTAATTTTCATTGGTTAACTGAGCCTAATGGGCTTATGCATGTTTCTTGTTTATTTTAGACAAGAGGAAATGAAACTGAATTAGAAAATGCAATTGGTGAATCCAAAAGTGAAACTGATGCCTTGGAAATGTCTCCAAAAGATGCAGGATCAAGTCTAATAAGAAGAAGATCAACCCGCAAGAGTATCTGTGCACCACAAGGCCAGGAGAGAAAGCTTAGTACAGAAGAGGCCCTGGTATGGAGGAGGATGTCGAGTTATGGCTTCAACCCTCCCACTGTCGCTCCCCTCGTTTAGTGGGCTAGGGTGGGGTTAGGAGTGGGAACAAGAAAGGGTTATCCAGAATCCTCCTGTCCTATCCCCCAGAGTGTTCCACAAACCACAATATCAACATTTTAGACTCGGTTTAGCATTTACGACTGAGATTTATAGGACAAGAATTTTAGAATTAGAATTTATAATATAAAGAGACAGACCATAATGGTTCTTCAATGTAAACATTTCTGTTTATCTCTTCTCTTAAATATTCTTGTCATATTGCAAATGTCAGGTAAGAGTTAAATGTTAGTAGAAATATCATTTCTTAAAAAATAAAGGAATAATATGACAATCTTTCAGTATCTTTTTTTAAGCTAAATTGCCATCAGTTGATAAGGAAATGGGAATAGGCTATGTTCATCTAAAAATTTTATGCATATGGAGGAAGTGTCCATGATTAAATCAATTAAGTACCAGTTCTTTTTCTAACTAGCCTGTAGTAATATTTGGTGTTTTCCAGGATGAAAATGTACCTTCCATTCCCTTTTGGAGGATTCTGAAGCTGAATATAACCGAATGGCCTTATTTAGTGGTTGGTACATTTTGTGCCATTATAAATGGAGGCCTGCAACCAGCATTTGCAGTAATATTTTCAAGGATTGTAGGGGTAAGTGTTTATGTCCATTTTTGGATTACCTGTGAGTCCTGACTGAAGAATGAACTGTTTGTTTGTAACTATATACATAAGCAACAAGAAACATGTACCTTCATATGAAACTAAGCAGCTTGAAGATCTAAGAACAGAAGTCTGGTTTGTGATAGGAAAGCTCATTTTTCAAACCTTCCTTTGTTCTGGCAGTTGGTTTTGATCCTATACCCCTGGGGCCAGATCCCTGAAATAGGCGATGACACTGACTAGATGACTGTCCCTCCCCTGCCATCACTGGGCTCTGAGTAAAGCTCCTGAGCTGTTGTATCACCAGAGTGCAAAGAGAGGTCCTCACATGTGTGTCAGACAGGCTTGAGAGAGAGCTGTTCTCTGACATGCGCACTGGGCAGGACACGAGCAGGCCTAGCACGCTGCCTCTGTGAGATGTCCATCCCACTTGTTAAGATGAACACAAGTGGAACAGCTTCCGAAAGACTGAGGTTGACACGTGTTTGTTCTACGTGCTTTCTACAGGTTAGGAATATGGCTCTGTTACTAGACTGACTGTGGCCCATGTGAAGGGAGATGTTTGTTTTCTTTCCCTGTGGAGTGGTTCTTCTCTGTCTTCCCCATCTCGGGGAAGGTCTCCATGTGTAGTGCTAGGTCAGCTGGCTGTGGTTCCCCCACTGGCTATCTGTCTGGCCATCCTATAAAGAAGGCTGGCTCAAGGCACCTTCTTTCTTTCTGAAAGGCCTGGGCTGAGTGAATGACCACCTCTCTCTGGTTCACCAAAACCATCCCAGCAGATTTTCTGCAAACACCTTGGGACAGTTTGAAATGTCCAAATTGTAAAGCAATGTATTGACCTCCAGTGTAGTTTCCCCCAAAGGAGGAAAAGAGCGTCGTTCCCATTTCTGCTTTACACAGGAGCTGTGGCACTTGTGGCGCTCGTTACTCCAGGAGGGAGTGTGAGCAGAAAAGTATTGGATCAATTGAGGAGTGACAGACCCGTTCTTGGCCCCTAAGGGAGGCAGAGTGCATACACTTTCAGGTTTGGCATTAGGGAGGCAACCCCAAACTCCATTACACTAAGGCTCTCTTGACCCCGAACCCTGTGCTAGGTGGCAAATGGGTCAGACCCAGAATGGCTTCTTCAGTGGTTGAACTGAAAACCTTTCAATATTTTCTTCACAGGTTTTTACCAGAGATGAGGATCCTGAAACAAGACGACAGAATAGTAACATGTTTTCACTATTGTTTCTCGTCCTTGGAATTATTTCTTTTATTACATTTTTCCTACAGGTAAATGTCTATATTTTCACTTTATTCATTTTTGAGAAATGGGTCATCATTCAACTGTGGAATTTATAAACATCTGTGTAACTTTCTTTTTAGTAGAATTGCTCCTCTCTTAACTGGGCTATTAGCAGCCAAGTTTCTTGGATGTATTTAAAGCAAAGATGTTTTGCTCCCTTGCTTAGCTCCTCCTCCCCTCTGACCTCCCCTAACTGAAATAATAATAAAACCAGAGGGAACAGAGCAAAGGAGTTAAGCACTCTAAAAGCATAGTATGGTAAGGCAGTATGGGTGTTGGTGTTAGAGTTGGGGTCCAGCACAAGTTGAACCAGTTCCTAATTTTGTGTCCTTGGGCCAATAAGTAGTTTAAATTGTCCAAGCCTCAGTTTCCTCATCTGTAAAATAGGGATAATGGTACCTGCCTCTTGATGATTAAAAGAGGTCATGTGACTACGTTCCCAGGCCTGTGTGGGGCAGCAGCAAGCACGTAGTCGCTTATTCAATGAATGCTTAGCAACATGTATTTTTTTAAGATAAAATTCTGAATAGATCTCTTTATTTCACATGTTGTAACCATGTACTAATTTTTTTTCTATAAACAGGACATTTTTCTTGACATTATAGGAGGTACAAATGAAAACAGACTGAAGTCTCTCATTACTAAGTACTTCAAGTCTCACTGGGGAATCTGACCTTGCCATCATAGATGGTACACTCTGTGTACACTTTATAACTCTGTGCTCTTTGCATGTGTTTCTTCCTTCTCTCTCAGGAATGTCCAGCACACTACTGGGGAGCACAGAGGAGACACGGTTGCCCTCCTCCACTTCTCTGATTCTGCAGGAGACTCAGGCCTGTTAGTAGGGCCTCTCCTCGTCTGATGCACCACACAGCCGTTTCCACTCTCCTTTCCCCAGGCCATTGTGTGGCAGGCCTTTCCAGAGCTCCAGAAAGAAAGGGGAATTCCTTCTAATCTCGTATCCCCAAACTCATCGGGATGAGGGTTCTGTTGTCCTCCCTCCCCAGAGGTGGCCCAGCATGGCCACACAGTCACATCTCACTGTGTTCTTTCCCAGTAACTCTCTTCCCTCCTCCAGACACAGAAGTTTCCAACCTTGCGGGATGGAGAGGGCAGTGCAGAAAATTCTCTTTCTGTAAGCCACTTTCCCCAACCTGTTTTGCTCCTCGACTTTGGCTTTTCTAAACTTAGAGACTAAGAATTTGATAGCTTTGTCCTCTGCATCCTTTTTGCCTGGGGTGACTGTATATTCCCGTTTTCCCAGGTGACACCTCAGGTCCTGCTGAAATTACTACTAGCACCCCTGTGCACTCTCAAAAGTGTCCTGGTTTGGAGGATACATAATATTGCCACCTGTTTAGAGTGCCCCTGCCTTGGGAACAACTCCAGCTTCCTGAGTGACAGACCCTGGTTCACTGGGAGAAATAAGCAGGGATAGGAGTGGAGGAAAGAAACACCTTTCCAGTAGATCCCTGATCAGTCTGCCAGCTAGCTGTGGAGTAGCAGTATGAATTTCAAAACTGGCCCTCCTGGCTATTCCACCAGGGCGGCTGTGCACCATAGTACACAGTCACTGAAACGTAGGCAACCCTTGAAATCAGCTTCTGACTTTGTCTAGTGTCCTGCTTTAGCAATGACATCAAGTCCCCCTCCTTCTGTGCA